GGTGATGAGTACCCAAATTTTTTGGATTCTTTGCTATGGAGAAGCAAGGGGAATAGATGGAGTGGTAGGAAGAGAAAGAACGAGAACGATGAGAATGGAGGAAGAGAAAGAAAGGAAGGAGAAGGGAGGAAGGAAAAGAAAGGAGGAAGAAGCGAGGAAAAGCAGTGGCCAACTGTGGTGATGGTGTTGCTGTCGGCGCCAGTGCTGGAGAAGACATGGAAACAGTGAAGAATCAAAGAAGGGAGAAGTGATTGAGTTATTGTGTGTTTGGAATAAAAAATAGAGTATGGTTGGCTACAAGGATAAGTTATTCAACACTTATTCTTAAGTAGACTAAAAATATATATTTTAACGGTGGGTGTATGATCACCTCCATTATTCAAAATCAACAAAAAAAACATCAAACTTAATTTACATAAAACAATCTCTCCTTTTTTTTTTTTTTTATTTAGAATTGTACAATTGAAGACAATTCTATTTACCTAAAAAAAAATTATTATTAAACTATTTAAATTGTTAACTAGAACAATTCCTTTTATTAAGGAATAATCTTCATTTTTCTCAATCTATCCACCCAATTCCCCAAACTCTTGAGAGTATTTGTGTAGCCAAAGAACCCATACTCTCGACTCTTGTTTGTGCTACAAACATGTTGGAACCCAAAATTCAAGAAGTTTTTAAGGCCGGCAAAACAAGCAATCTCTTCCAACTTGGTCTTGCATAGCCCATGTTTCTTCACAATTTCATCCCATATTTTCCCTTTCTCCTTCATCATCCCCACAAAATCAAATTCTTCAATCTCATCAAATGGCACAAATTCAACCTCAAATATATCACACAACACCTTCCATACACTCTTCCATGTAAATACATCACCATTTGTGCAATTAAAGGCTTGATTCTTGGCATGAGGTGTAATTACACCCCATATGTGTTGCTCAGCCAGCACACGTGCGTCTGACATGTCACAAAAATGCTCCCACGTATTGCGAGTACCCAGGTATCGAAATGGTAACCCTCGTGTTGGGAAATTGTTGCATAAATAGCGAGCGTAAGTAGCGCGTTGTACACACTTCTTGAAGACGCGCCAATTATGATTGAGGAGTGATGCACAGAATATGAAATGGATGGCGTGTATGAGGCAATGATTTCTTCAAGTGCATAGTAAAAATTTGGGTACGGTAATCGAGGCAAATCTTCATGGAAAGGTGGTTCGTGGGTTATGAGATGACCCGATTGAATCGGGTCATGGACCAAGCCCATATAGTGTTGAGTACCTGTTTGGACAGTGATGTGGGCGAGACGTGAGGGCGAAGCTGATTTCAAGACATTGAGGACATTGGCTAACATGATGGCATTGACTCTTATATTCCCTTCTTCACTTTCAAGACCTTGAATTGCTACCCAAAAAACATGGGTGACCTTGTTAGCCACTGGAGGGAGGTTATGGAGTGTGTCATTAGCGTCAGTGGCATCGAAGGCAATGTATTGATCGATTGTGGAATCAGGAAACCATGCAAGCTTGGGATGCTGAGTAAAACCATAGGCTTTCCATGGGCCGGCTACACAGTGGGGCTCTTCAGCTAAGCTTAAGCTGACCATCCCTGTGACTCCAACAATGAGGGCTACCATGGATTGAGAGTTTGCTAGCTCCATGACTAGAAAAAGGTAGCAAGGACAGGTTATTAGAGATGAGAATGAGATGCAAAAACCTGGGATCTAAATATCAAGATGCATTCAATGTTCATCGTTCTGTACATGCATTTATATTCCTATGTATACAATTTAGTAGCTCTAGTTATAACTATATTTGGTAAGAAATCAAATTATAAGATTTGTTTACGTTTAAGGTTAATTTTTGTTATCAAAATTTAAGGTTTTAAGATCTCATTTTGATTTTTGAACTTTGGTGCAAAGTTTTTTTTTTTAGTCTCAAAATTAAAAAATTCCTCTTTTTAATCCTAAACTTACATTTTAGCCTCCTTTAATCCTTTGTTAAATTTTTTACGTACGTGTCATGTTAATTAATAGAAAATGCTCATATTTTTTTTTTACACTAGTGATGTGGAAAATCCATGTTATTAGAAAGGATGACTTTGATGATTATGGGTCCACATTTTTATCTTATGAAAACATACAAGTCCCATTTGGCCTTAT